AGCAAAGGGCATCGCTACTAGTAACCAAGACGCTACTAGTAGCTCCCTGCCTTACTACGAGGAACAAGAAGCTACTAGGAGCAAAGGGCGGTGCACAAAAAATAAGCACCAAAAGCTGCACGAATTTGCCTGGCTTCTTCGGTTTTCGCTCCTTACTGCCCAACCCCTATCCCAATCCGTCGTTTTCCTCACTCCATCATCCCAAAAACCAGCCACCCATCCCAACAACGAAACTCAAAGGTCCATGACCTTTAAACTGTATTTAACTATGCTTTCACACCACTCAACAAGTCCTGGCGTGTCCCACAAAAATCAATCACACTCCTCTTTATCAACTTTGGAACGGCCCGTGACCCCTTACACAAATGATGATATCTCATTCCCCAAGTTGCAGATCTCCCACATCTCCTGAGCCTTGTCTGCTTCATCGGGCTGGATGAAGGTGTAGGCAAAGCCAGCCCTCAAACGAAATCATGCGGTATGGATGGTGCACGACCCTCTATGTCCTAAACTAACATTGACCGTTTACCTCTTTCACCATTCAATATTCAATACCGTGCAAGACCGAAGGGCATCGCTACTAGGAGCAAGGACGCTATTAGGAGCTCCTGGCATCGCTACTACATTCACTTCTTCTTCTTCTTCTTCTTCGACCAACGCTTTAAAAAAGGACGCCAGCACCTTGCAAAAATGCCAGACACATAGCCCACACGACGTGGTGCATACCGGACCAGCCCTGAGCACCCAAACTTTCCAGCGCGTCCAGTGCGGCCCACCCGGTGGATGTAGTCCTCCAAGTGGTCTGGAACCTGTGATGGTTTGGACGGAAAAAAGCAACCAGCGTTGAAAACGCAATCGCTGGTAGGTTGGAGGCCATCGCTATTAGGTTGAAGGCCATTGCTATAGGGGTGGAGGCCATAGCTATTAGGGTGGAGGCCATTGCTATAAGGGTGGAGGCGATCGCTATTAGGTTGGAGGCCATCGCTATTAGGTTGAAGGCCATTGCTATTGGGTTGGATGCCATCACTATTAGGTTGGAGGATATCGCAAGTAGGTTGGAGGCCATCGCTATTAGGTTGGAGGCTATCGCTAGTAGGTTGGAGGCCATTGTTCTAAGGGTGGAGGCCATCGCTATTAGGCTGGAGGCCATTGTCAAAAGGGTGGAGGCCATGGCTACTAGGTTGGAGGCCATTGCTATAAGGG